CAATAACGAGGACCATTATTTCTTTATGGAAATTTTAATAGTTAAAATTTTTATCAATTTTCACGAGATGATCTGCGTGAGCTTCTAAAAAATGTACCGCTAAATATTAGACAACTGTTGTGGTTACAATTTGATGGAGCTCCGGCACATTTAAGATTCAGTGTGTTTTTCAGTTTTTTGAAGTATTATTTATTTTCCACTTTTAAGTTTGGTTTGCTATATCAAGCCCGTTCCAATGTGAAATATATACGTATGTACAGAGAGTGTGGTTGTCTCACTTGCTCTCACGCAGAGACTGTGTGAGAAAATTATTATTTCCTGGCGATCCTGATCAGGATAATGAGCTGAACTTATGAAATCATTGTATTGTCACCGATTTTTGATAAGTGTACGAAGTTTAAAATACATCTGTCCGTATTATAGCAAGTTAGTCAAAATCGATTCCGAAGGAGTATGTTACAGAAAAACAAACTTACAAACAAACATACAAGTGGAGCTTAAATAAAAATCAAAATCCTCCTTTGACAGCAAATATGTATGGTGAGCTATACTCGAATCGTTGTATTCCCAACAGTCGAATGTTGCATTGGACAGAAATAAAACTAGAAATTTTTTTCTCACTGGAGGTGTGAGAAACCAGGTAAGTATTTTGAGTAAGCAAATAATACCTCATGAAGATTTACAAAGTAATTTTTTTCGGGATTGGTAAGTTACGAAAATATTTTCAATAAAGATTGTTCTAACACAAGAAATTGATCACTAACGAGAGATGTCTGTAAAATTTACCAATTATTCCAAAAAAGAATACATGCAATATTTTGGTAAGGTAAGACTAAATTCAGAAATCATAAGCAAGTATGAAAATATTGATACAAATCTGGCACCAAGTTTCAGAAATTCAAACAACTTCGAAAAAATCAGGAGGGTTTGTATTACTCCTGCAAAAATTGAAAGCACCTTCCGAATGTATTTGCACGAACCACATAAACATAAATCACAAATTTGAAATTTTGAAATTTTCACTGAGAACCAATCCAATAAAAATATAGGAATGTGGGCTTTCACGACTGGGGTCAATCTTTTGATTGGCTTCTGGGTTTTGCCGTGGCCCTCTTTGGTTATAATCTCCAAACGTTCCAACTGCAACTGCGGAAGTCATTTTCAGTAGCGTGGTCGAAGAACTCTTCTTGACGTGTTAACAGTTGACATGTCAATAAGAGTACTACGACCAAGCCACTAAAGATGACTGCCGAAGTTTCAGCTGAAACGTTTGAAGATTATAACCAAAGAAAACCACAGCAATATCCGGAAGCTAATCAAAACGCAATAAAAATAGTTGAGATAATTCAAAACGAAGACTTAAAACATAGTATCTCACCATGCTACTGGCATCCAATTTTGAATTCCTCATAGGCTACTTTTTATCTCGATATACCCCTGCTGTACCCACGAGTTACTTTTTACAATTCAGGTGGACAAAGTTACGAAAAGAAGCTTTCGTAAATAAAGTAATCCGTAATTACTGCAAATGAATCTGTATCGTGGACTTGAACTCTTATACGATTAAGTTAACATTTTTAAGTGCACCTGTGCAAAGCCGGACCGGGTCGTTGGTACTCTATAAAGATCGGAATTATGTATATATAGACGAATAATTGACCTATCTCTCCAGAATATTTATTGTTTTCGATATATGGATATTTCTCATTCAACTTCCATTTATAGCACCTTCATGTATCGACATTCTGATGGTATTAATATTATGTCAGTGTCCATTCATTTTACCGTTACATTATTCGTCCTTGCATCAACATTATTACACTTCGATTGAGTTATCAAGGATATTTTGAAATATGTCATGCATGTATAACAACGATTATACTTTCACAATAACAGATTTATCGTATCTAACAAACAATGCGCTGATTTACTCACAAGTGGCCATATTCCAAATTCGACTAGTGAATTTGAAGGTTTCATGAAACAAATTGATATTTGACATAAGTAGATGCAGAAAGTGAAGTTACTCAGCATAACAGCAGGTTTCCACTCAAATATTTTCTTTATCATACCTGAAAAAATTAGAAATATCTCATTAAATTTGGGTGATAAAGAAAGTTGTCGAAAAAATCGTTTGGTATAGCCATGAATTGCTCAGTATATGACTTTTTTTGCAAATACATTATTCTATAGAGGACACTATGAAAAATGAATTTGGTACTAGTATAAGTGGTATTTGAAATCTGGTACACTAATCTGTTCTGATCTAATGATTTGAAGTAACAACTTTTTATGTGAGGATAAACCGCTTCGTTACATAATGCGTAACGGTGCCAATCTGTCTGGCTTCACCTACTCCGCACTTTAACCCACAGTCCTAGCCGTATTTAGGACAGACGTTTCTCTCTCATCTCTTCACATAACTGTGTTCAGTGTGTGATCGACATATACTGCTGTAGGTACTGTTGTTCAAATATGTTTGAAAATCTGTGCCAAACTCTTGTTCGGAGACGTATACGTTTTTTTAATCAGAACGATGGTAATTATGAATACTTGATCATATTGAACCATTCTTTACTGAAATTTTAATATAACAGTTTACGAAACTACAATGCGTGTTTCACTAAACATATTCTTCAGGGATGGCTTATACTTATACTGAACTATATTCAGTGTACAGTCTATACACCACGCATATGCTGTTGAATGCCTGCTACAATGTATCTGTATATTAAGTAACACGTTGTTAACCTTTGTGATTTTGACAGTGTTATCGAATTGAAACGTTCCCATGTAGTCGCTTTGCTACATTAAATGAGAAGTACTTTTGTGACTTTTTTTATCAAAATCCATCAGCACCTCGATTCTTGTTGCAAAACAGTTCTCCGCTAGAGATTTGATTCAGTTATTGAATCAGATGTTATTTATGTTTTCCATGTGGAATCAAAAGTATTTCTTTCCTGTTGAAATACTACAGACTGTGATATATGACAGTAATCTGGCATGTTATTGTATCAGATATGTCACAGGAGTTGATACAGCATTAAAAAGGAAAAAACTCCTGACTATGGAAAATTAAGAAAATTCAAAAATATATCACAAAACGAAACGAATTGAAAAATTGAGACATGAAAAAAGATATGAATTGAGAACATGGAATAAATTTTAAATAAACTTTGAACTGCTTGAAAGCTTGGCTTGATTCGAGACCTTCCGGCTCGAGCTTGGACTTGAACAAATGCGGCTTGGCTCGAAATTTGGTTCGTGATAAATGCCGCAGTTTGGCAAAGCTGCGAGTTGAGTTCTCTGGCTCGTGCTCGAATCCATCCCTACCAGCAATTTATTGTGATTCAGTCTAGCACTATGGACGAGACCTATGACGAGTTTTTGGGCCCTAGTTTCAATGTTTCTGAATGTTTCCACAATGAATTGATAATCTAATTTTCACACCTCAGCCTATTGGACGTTCCCAAGTTATCGTTACCAACTGAAAAGTTAAAGCCTACTCCTGTGTATAGTGGATGGAAAATTATGAAACCGTTCAATTTCTATTACAAAACTGAAAAAAAAGTACCTCCAAGATTTTGAGACATTCCTAGAATACCCATTCCAATTCCTGATGCAAAAAATAATTTCACAAGAGGTCCCAAAATAGCAGATGTTATCCCTCTAAAAGTCAATAACGTAAGTCCAATAGCCATCAGAGGCAGAATAAAAAATAGTGGAATGGAAAATTTGATCGCCACCTAAAAAAAATAATTATATTCTTCGACTATATTCGATGATTCAGAAATGAATGATGAATTTATATCATATTGAAAATTACAGAACTAAATGATTAAACAGTCTGTGAATAGTAAAAACTGAAACGTTCATGAATTATCGAATTATTGCAATTTCGAAAACTCCTTGGGTACGTGATCTCTATTCCCAATATACATACAAGTTATATCACTCTCGCACGGAATATCGAGAATTGAATTTTGAATATTTTTGAACATGGAAACTTTTTTCGTGAAGTTACTGAGGATTTCAAGTCAAATATAATGAGTCTAGCTGAATTTTTCAACGTTTTGGTGATATTACAGCTCTCGGAAAAACCATCAAGAACTAAAATATAGTTAGAGGGCATACTTTAAGAGTGGCTATGAATCAAATTATCTAAAGGAACGATTTGTTCAGGCCAGTTTCAACTTCTCACACTGTAGGTTTATGGAATGACTCCTATCAGAAAACAACTACTCCCCTGGCTAACACCACGAAGGGCGTTGGTATATATCCGAAACGTGTCAGTGCAGGATTCTTCACTGAAGTTATTCCTGCATATGCTGTTGGCGATACAACTGTCGCAATAGATTTTCAATTATTGGAACATACTTGCGGATCGATTTCGTGCTGTTTGGCCATTCATCAGTGCAAGGTAGTATCTATCATCAACATAAAGTCGAAGATTCCAGACAATTCAAAATCGAATTCCTTCAGAGTTTCATTCCACGAACTAGGCTGAAGCGGACAACAAACAGCAGATTTGTCATCGCGCCATCTGCCTGTAAACGAAGTAACCAACCGAATATCTGAAATTTTCCCAGTTCCTTGTATGAGGAAAAAACTTCACATATAGGTATGCGGTTGGTTACCTCGTTCACAGGCAGATGACGGGATGACATATCTGCTGTTTGTTGTCCGCTTCAGCCTAGTTCGAGAAATTATACTATGAAGGAAATCGATTTTCAATTATCGGAAATCACCGACTTCATGTTTATGATAGTGCACTACTCTGCACTGATGAGTAGCCAAACAGCCCGAAACCGGTCTGCAAGTGTGTTCCAGTAATTGAAAATCTATTGCGACAGTTGTATCGCCAACAGCATATGCAGGAATAACTTCAGTGAAGAATCTTGCACTGACAACTGTCGGATATAATCCAACGCCCTTCGTGGCATTAGCCAGGGGAGTGTTTGTTTTCTGATAGGTGTCAGTCCATTAACCTATAGTGCAGGAAGTTGAGACTGGCCTGAACGAATTGTTCCTCTAGATCAGGGGTCTCCAAACTTTGAAGCCTTCGGGACATAATGATTTTTTCAGTTTATTCCAAGGGCCGATTTCTGCCCTTAACTTTATTTCTAGACTAGGATAGTCGCAAAGTGCGTGACCTAAGAAAACTTACGCTTTTTTGCATTTCAATTATTATTGTGTATTGTGACACTTAACGACATTTAGTGGGGAGTAGTGGTGCTATGTACTATGTTTTTCAGCTACCCGCTAGGTGGCATTAGGCGTAATTAAATATTTGGAATTACCGTGTTGGTTCTGGTTCTAGCTAGTGTATTCCGATCACCTCGAGATGGCAGTAATAAGTGCATATAAAAAGGCTAGCGGCGCAACTGCGAGTTAGTCTGCGTAGGAAAGGCGAAGGAAGCGAAACTGTCTATTGTGAAATAAAAAGTAACACCCGTCAATAAAAGTATTGATTGATTTGACTCATTGTTTTTATGTGTGATTTGTTAGTATGGTAAAGAAGCGAAAAATCGACAGTGAATGCAGAACGTTCCAAGAAAAATGGAACTTTCAGTATTTTGTGATTGAGTCCAATAATAAGGCGCTATGTTCAATTTGTAATGAAACCATAGCTGTTCTCAAAGATTATAACATTAAACGACAGTATGAATCGGAACTTCTTCAAAGTTACTCCAAGTATAGAGGAAGTTTGCCGAAGGAAAAATATGAAGCTTTGAAACGCGGACTCAAATCGCAGCAATCTTTGTTTACCAAAGCGAATACTGAACAAGAGTCTGAAACTCGCCCCAGCTTTCGTGTGGCTCTTGAAATCGGAAAACGTGGCAAACCATTCACCGATGGAGAAATGATAAAAGAATGCTTTTTTCTGTCGTTAAGTTTTACCTTGCAAGTGAATAAAACCGAGTAATTATCATTCTGTGTTTTCTTCTTCAACTTATCACAGCAATAGTAACAACAGTTAGGTAATCATTGGCTATCGCGGGCCAGATTGATGACACTGGCGAGCCGTGGTTTGGAGACCCCTGCTCTAGATGATTTGATCAAAAACTTAATTCTATCAATATCATAGACGGTATTCAATGAATATCATGACAATACGAACGACTCAGAAACATCCAATTTTTTTAATATTCGAACATAACTGTATAGGAAATAACAAACAGCTAACGAAAAAAAAAAACAAATCACATAAAAAAAATTGCACTATTCGACCAAAACTGAATACGACTGTCATGACTGACAGTCAATTAAATTTGGTAGTATGTAAATACTGTAAAAAACCAGTGGTAAATAAGAAAGTGAAGTGTATGGAGTGTCTTACTACATTCCATTATTATATTCAATAATAAAATTATAAAATAGTGCGGACTTTAGTGGTATCACTGTATATTGATTTTATCATTAGTATTCAACAATTATGTTTCTTCAAAGGTCGACATTTCTCCATAATCTCAGAATGCATTATCATGACTTGTTACTTGTTACTGCTCCTGCTTGGTGTGGGGCAACTAACGCATAACCATGAATCTCTCATGAAGTTTTACGGGGGTATCGTAGTTGAAGAAATATGAGTTTTATATTCTTCTGAATGTAAAAGTCCGTATTTAAGTTATTTCAACTTGTCACGATGATTTAATGATTCGCTTTGTATCAACAGCCTATCATGTGGACTATCAAATAAAACATATTAACATTTCATTCTTCTGATTTGTGTCAAACGAAATATGCCTGATCATTTTCCGAAACATTAATCGACCAAACAAACCTATGTTAAGTTGCTTATGTTACGCAGTTACTTTTGTTCTGTATATTTTTCACATTGAGAATTTTTATATTCCCAAGAAACAATCAGAAATATTGACCCCTACACAAAAATGACTTTCAAATAATAAATCCATAGATGTTTTTGATCTCATTTTCATTACTTCGTCTACGTCAGATTTTCACATCTTCAATATTTCATGGCTCAGACTTTACTGCACTTCATTCGATAGAATGATGTCAGTCTTATATATGAATATACAATTCAAATAGAAGGAATCTGTTCTGTTTAAAATCTGTTTTTCCGTTAATCAGCTGCCGCCCCCATACGAACGACAACTCTCAGAAGTTGAGAAACTTGTGGGAGCTAAGGACTAACGAGGTCTTACCTTTTAACGTGTGATTCCTAACACGGATGATGAATGTGGTGAGTAACGTCATTTAGCTGCTCAAAATCTAAGTAGAAATGGATTGATATACCATTTTTTGTTACTGGTTCTACTAGAGATGAACATAGACCTCTGATTCTTTACTGACACTTTCTTTCAGCATTTTGAATCATATCGTTGGTTAGCTGACACGAATGATTCTATGCCAAGCCAGAAGCGATTTAGATTTATTAGTCTTCCAAACATCAACAGATTCCTTCAGCACAGTCTTCATAATTTTCAGATATATTTCCTTCACTCTTGTGAAATTTTTCTCCAAATTATTTTCTCACAGTTTACTGTAGCTACAGCTACCGTAATTTTGTTCGCATATTGAAGTTGATAGTTCACGAGTATTCGGACGATTTACAATTTGTGTCGTCTATATTAGTCAGTGTCTACCTGATTCAACCCAACCTATAATCACCATAACTTCCTCAGACTTTGTAGGAATCTGGGTAGCTTCTTTTATCATTATTCTGATTTACGAAATCAGATGATAGATAGTAATAATGGAATTGAGACATTCCAGATTTTCAGTATCATTCAATAGACGATAATGTCGGGATTAAGGACACATCATCCATAATTTGTTGTTGTTGTCTCTACCGCTTAAACGTCCACAACATCATCATAAGTCTACCAACCAGATGACCATACACTAATAGATTCAATCCGTTCTTCGAGGTCGAGATGGAATTCCTGGGGCTTCGATATGCCAACTGATTCTCGTTTTATTCGTTTTTGTCAAATAAAAAAAGATCCGAATTTTGGCAGGGGTTAACACGTAAACATCATGCAGAGACCTACTCAAGCAATACAAAATATTAACTTTTGTGAATATATTCATATTCGAAATGTACATTCATATTTATACGATATAGCTCCTATCATAGTATCAATACGAGAAATCATATTAACTTTCACCATATAAATACAACCTAACTGCCAAGCCCCCTTTTCATTTGGGATTGAAAATGTTTGAAAAGTTACCTTTTTCTCTTTGAGCGATCGATAGAATTCATGTTTTCAAACGCAACTTGAAAATGTTTTCACTGAATCACAGGTTCTATATCGTGCAAGAATTTCTCGAAGAGAATGTATGATTCGTTTTGTATTCACATACCTGACTATTCCAATATATGTTTATGTCTTATAGAAAATTAATGTAATTATTATTATTTGAAAAATGGGTGGTTTGCGACATCATTTTTTCCGCAAGTTTTTGCTTATTTCTTTCATCTATCTGTCGTTGATATCCTGTTGGTTTTCACAAAAAATCTGTCGTTCCTTCTCAAAGAACTAGTGTGTTTGATTCAGGAGCTTTATATCACGTGTATTTTTTCTTTTTTGTAAAATTTAAGATCCTTGTCATTTCCGACAATTCATTTGATTTTATAAGTTCTTCACAGTTGTGATAATGTCATCTCGATGAAGTATTTTTTCTCGACTGACTGTTCAATTTACAGACGGTTTGCAAAACCACGTTAGCATCAATATGAGATGACTCATTAGCTGATGATACTTACTTTGTTAGTGGAAGGCGTGTCAAGAATTGATATAAAAAAATTAATAAATACAGTTTATTGAATGATTTTCACTACAAAGTGTTTTACAAGAATCGCTACACGTGTTTCCCTATATAATAGCTTCTCAAGCTGTTGAAGTATTTTTCCACTCCATGAATCATCTATTGGAATTTCCTTCATGCCAGTTCTACAATCCATTCAAATTCATACGAGCGGCAAATGAAACGTAGTTTCTGTTGTTTTTTGTTCGAGTAACTTGCTTGGAGAAAATATTTCCAGTATTCGACCAGCAGTAGAAAACGTCAGGTGGTGTGAAATAAAACTGCATTCTCAATAATTATACACAGATTAAATTGCAGCCAGAGATGAATATATAATCTTGAAATTTGTAAAAACCTATACAGCCTGTATAAAACACTACAGCTTTTAAAGAAGAAGAGAAGGAGTCAGCGCGGTCACTTCATAATTTTCTTTTTTCCCAAGAAGAACAGAAGACAACCGATTGATTTCAGAATCATTAGACATTTCGATGGAAAGCAAGAGAAAAAATAGATGAAGTATTGGTTTACAAATGATGAACATATTTTGAATGACGGTTCATTTTACTTTTTCCGAACTCTTCGAGTAGTTACTATTTAGGACAAATATTTATTTCTTTCACAGTTTGCCAGTCCCCACGTAATTTTCGGATGAATAGAAGAATAACCCGTAAATGGTGTATGTTTATTATTTTCAATTTCAATAAACGCACTTTCGTACTGTCGTAATATTTGTGAAACATACCACACACAGGCAATATGATTGCGGTATATACATAGACATGATAATATGGATATCAAGGTATTTAGGTCGGACGAAATTCACGTGAAAACGTTTCATTTCCGCTGCCTTTTGATGAGAATAATAATAGTGGATCATCTCTCATCACCTAGAGGGCACTTTCACTTTTATTTTAATGTAAAGCAGGGAGGTCTCGTGATAACACATTTGATAGGTATTTCAATTCTCTCTCCATGTTTTTTGCATCAATGAAAATCGGAACAGCTCTTTCAGAGAAATCAGCAGTTTCATAGTTTCATATTAGTTTCAGAAACTTACAAACTGATGATTAAAAAAAATGTATACTTTTGTCACTTCAGTTCATCCCAGTGAATGTTCAATTCGATCATCATTCAATTCCTAACAATAATGGAGTTTGTTCACAAATTCATCATAGAATGGTTCTGGGGTAATTTTGTTAGAACCACACCTCACAAAACAACACACCACAACCATAAGCTCGGAAGTAGATTGCGGTGGTGTAACGTGAATTCCGGATTTCACCAATCATCACAAAAATCAAAGTTTGCGGGTCATTCTGGGAGACCACGTTTACCTATCCACTGGTTTGGATGATTTTCATCTAGACACTTTTGAACCAACTCGTCGTAGTGAAGAGGTACCTACCCCAAATTGCTGAAACCTAATTTCAGTTGAAAAGTCGTTCGTATTTGATAATTTTCCAAACCGGTAGACAGACAAACATGATCACTCAGACGAGCCCACTAGATCACCTGATCGGATATTTTTGAGTCGAATATTTTCGAGAAAAAACGTGACATCTGAAGTGACGATACAGAATCGCAATTCATTTCAGAATTCGTTTATTAAAAAAGAGGTACTTGCAACGATTTTACCCAGGAACATTTCACAATATAGAAAAAAAACTGTAAGTACACTCCATTATTGTTGTGAATGATTTAACATTTTGAATATTCATTAGAATGAAATTAATTAAGATTTGAATAATTTCAAAATTATGATAATCATTGTGTGATGAAAATGGCCGATACTTGAAGAAAATCTATGAGGTTTCCAAATGACACTCCATTGTGAGATTTCCAAGCATTTTTATACGTATCAAACAAACAATTAAACAATTTCAATTTGGTACTGAAGTGATTGACGTGCCATGACGTGCCATCAAGGTTCAGAATTTCATTAGTTTGTTATTTTCAGCTTATCATTTCATTTTTATTGACTTTTTCAGGCATTTCAATTAATTTTTCAGTCCGAAATGATGAAATCTACCATGATATATTGTCAACCTCCTTTAAACAAATGTTGAACTTTGTTGATGAAAATGAGCTGATTTCAGTTGAAAAAGATATTTTAGAAATATTGAAATAAGAACAAGAGTTCACGAACAAAAATCAACCGGAACCCAGGAACAACATCCAAGACGAACACAGAAAAAAAAAACAATGGGAACAAAAACACAGCAGAAACAACAGAAACAATAAAAATACAAGGAACATTAATAGTGCCAAAAACAACAAATGCAAAAAGCTGGGAGCTGATACAATAAGATATTTCGATGATATTGTCATGTTGATAGCAAAAATCAATAAGTAACTGTTTTTCATGATAATCTCAGAACACCCAGTTAATTCTACGTAACAGTCATAAAGTACATAAAATAACAACTGTTTGCCGAGATCGAATTTTTCTTCAAGAGATAACGGCTATTTCGTAAATGTCGCCATTATATTTCAGCTACAATTTGGGTTTGATTAGGTCGTTATTTAGAGCTTTGGTTTCGAAATGACCCATGAATAAGTTGGGAATGACAGGTTATTATGGAGAACCCATTGGAACAACCTCTATATGTCAATGAGTTTGTACAGACATGAGGTTCTCCAATGGGTGCATAACAAGCCCATCATCTGGACTTAACAGTGATTCGACTAGTTCACATTTTAAAAAATCGAGGCGTTCATTGTGGTAGAAGTTAATATCAGAAAAAAAACTGTTTCAGAGAAATGGTTGCACAAACCTAAGATAAATCATGAATTAATTGTGAAATGACATATCATGAACTCACATTGTTTGGTGAGAGACCTTTTCTGCAAATCTTGAAATAACATGATCCTAGAATCATTCCGACCCAGCTGCTCAACCAAATGGAATACGTGGATAAGTAAAGAACATTGAAATGGTGTGAGACGAGAAGTTTACCATATTCAAAATTCCTAAAAAACAGTTAAATAAAAGTTAATTGCCTTATTTTGATGAAATACTTACCTGATGAATGTCTTGAATATTAAATCTGTATCATTGATGTATATCATCAAACCGTACACTGTATAATATATAAATAAAAGTGATAAAAACACTTTTTTCAAATTGAAGTTATACTTAAATGAGATATATAAAACCATCACATGAGCAACGTACATTTGAAAGTCTGCCGATAAGTACCATGTCGTACCAACACACTGAAAAATACTATTTAATCAAATTCAGAAATCGAATTGGAAGTGTACTAATATGTATATATGTAAAATATCACTCACCATATCTTTGATGTCATAAATGTTGTTGAAAAACAAAATAGTTGCATGCCAATTTTTTTTGCATCCAAGTAAGTGAAAATTCATGATATCGAAATTATTAGGACCAACAAAATAATGAAACCACGACGTATTCAGTAATGTAATGAGTACAATCACTGTTGAAACGAGCCTACAAACAAAAAATATTGATGAACCTGTGTATTATTTGATGAGTAGCATACTCAACAAATCAATTCATCCAATTACCGGAATGTACAACATGAAAACATTTGTACTTGTACTTCAATATTAATATGCTACAACTATTTCACTCGACTATCATTCTTGAAAACTGACTAGCAAGTATTGAAATGATTATTTTTCTGTGTACAACATCAGAGCTTTTGTTGACCTATTTTGTGAATTTTTACTTTCCACGATCTGAAATAAATGATTCCTAATTGTAATGTAGAAATGTTTTGTTCATCCCGATGAGTTACTGCGTGAATTCAATATATTTCTCATATATGAAAATGTGTTTTTTATTGATCTTGTATTTTCACTACCGAAAAACTAATAATTTCAAAAATATATCTCTACTCCCCGTCGTTTTCAGGATAAAAAAAAATCAAAGTTTACTTTCATTTTCTCAAATGTATCGTACTGGACTACCGTCGAATGTTTTCGAAGTCAATCGGCAACTTTTTTGTATTCCATATGTCAGAATTTGGCATATACAATATTAGAATAAATATTTATGAATTTATTAGTTCATAAAATAATAATGAACAACTTTTATTGTTTTCAGATTGTGGTAGGTGACAATTCCCAAAATGTATTGCAAAGATGGAGGGAAAATAATTTTTTCACTTTTATCTATTTTTGATCTCCTTCACTTCTTGATTTTTCACTTTGTAACAAATGATTGTCTTCAATTACGTTGAAAAGAAGAAGAAATGGAAAAAAGTATGAAATCATTCATATTCAAGAAGAAATCAACACAAAGTTTCAATTGAATCTTTGAATTTTAACTATTTTACACATTAATCACATCTCTGGCTTTTACAACAACCCATTTTTACCACTAGGGTGGAAATGATATAGTAATTTCAAAAAATGAACATTTGAATGATAAATGTATTCAATATATACAGTACGGGCGCAAATAGTCCCTCTTGATTTTCGAACCGAACAAAATATTGAGTGAGACATAATTCAAATGAAAATGTATCTTCGTCAGTACTTTTCGATAAGAAACACAATGGTGTTGAATCTCTCGTTGTCGAGACAGCCGCTACCAACTTTCATTTTCGAATAGGAAGCAGACTTTGTAGTAACTCTTTTGACAGGTATTTCAATTGTCTATTCAACAACGATTTCATATTTGAAATTCGGATGGGCCATTCCTGAGTGATTAGCCGTAACATATTAGTTTTTGATATTTACAAAACACGATTGATATATTCTTACTTCAGCTAATTCCAGTAAATGTCTGAATTATTACCATCCACTTACTGACAATAATGAAGTTTGTTGACAAATTCATTTGTTGACAAATTCATTATGAAATGTTTTGAAGTAATTCGACAGAAGCACCTCTCATTCTGACCATGGGCTCTGAAGTAGACTCCGGTTGTGTAAAGTCAATTTCAGATTTCACCAAACCTCATAAAACCCTAAGGGTGTTATATCAGATAATGCTGCGGGCCATGTATACCCATCCACTGGTTTGAATAATTTTCATCAAGTCCCATTGAAAGCAGCTTGGTTTGACCATTTTTCGAAACGGGAGAAAGGTAAACGTTGTCCCTCAGAAGAGCTCACTAGATTACCTGATATGACGTGATACGTGAGATCTGAATTGTACGATACGTAACCCAAATTCATTCCAGAACTCAAGGATAGAAAAAGAGGTGCTTGCAAAAATATGGCTCCAGGAATATTTCATTTTTTCTTCGAGGATCAAACACAAGCAAGGAAAATCCTTGAGACGCTCTGAGAGCGATGTTTGTGTGAAAGTAGCAATTCACGTTGGATTTGAATCGCTGGAAATTAAATTCATCTGGAAAAACGTTCTCAGGAAGTTCATTCCACATAAACGCAGTTCTCCAAATGAAAGAGTTCCTAAACAGTGAAGGTAGAGTTATACTCAGTTGCGTATTTCTGATATGTACCACTCTTCTGGGAATCAAATGCGGAGTTACTTGAATACCTATCTATAAAAGAGAGACAAATCCCCAACCTTTTTTTCGATGTTCCATACACTCAAAGAGATGTGTCTCTATTCAGGTGCATGGCTCTTTTCTGGGTCTGATATGAGCTTTTTGAAGCATCAAACGTTGCTGAGGTGTGTACACTTTTCTGGTTCGGAACAGTGTTTCAAGCTTTTGAGAAGCAGCCTTTGCAATTTCATTGACATGATTGTGTTAAGACATATTGTTGTCCATTTTAACCACCAACAAATAATTCATTATGAAATGTTTTGAAGTAATTCGACAGAAGCACCTCTCATTCTGACCATGGGCTCTGAAGTAGACTCCGGTTGTGTAAAGTCAATTTTAGATTTCACCAAACCTCATAAAACCCTAAGGGTGTTATATCAGATAATGCTGCGGGTCATTATAAGGGGCCATGTATACCCATCCACTGGTTTGAATAATTTTCATCTAGTCCCATTCAAAGCAGCTCGGTTTGACCATTTTTCGAAACGGGAGAAAAGTAAACGTTGTCCCTCAGAAGAGCTCACTAGATTACCTGATATGACGTGATACGTGACATCTGAATTGTACGATGTGTAACCCAAATTCATTCCAGAACTCAAGGATAGAAAAAGAGTTGCTTGCAAAAATATGGTTCCAGGAATATTTCATTTTTTCTTCGAGGATCAAACACAAGTAAGGAGAATCCTTGAGGCGCTCTGAGAGCGATGTTTGTGTGAAAGTAGCAATTCACGTTGGATTTGAATCGCTGGAAATCAAATTCATCTGGAAAAACATTCTCAGGAAGTTCATTTCACATAAACGCAGTTCTCCAAATGAAAGAGCTCCTAAACAGTGAAGGTCGAGTTATACTCAGTTGCGTATTTCTGATATGTACCACTCTTCTGGAAATCAAATGCGGAGTTACTTGAATACCTTCCGTGAAAGTATCTATAGAAGAGAGACAAATCCCCAACCTTTTTTCGATGTTCCATACACTCAAGGTTGCAAGAGATGTGTCTCTAATCAGGTGCATGGCTCTTTTCTGGGTGGAATCCAGCAGCTCCAGGGTATGCTTAGGGGCGGAGCTCCATACATAAGAACATAACTCAAAGAAGGTCTGATATGAGCTTTTTGAAGCATCAAACGTTGCTGAGGTGTGTACATTTTTCTGGTTCGGAACAGTGTTTCAAGCTTTTGAGAAGCAGCCTTTGCAATTTCATGGACATGATTGTGTTAAGACATATTGTTGTCCATTTTAACCACCAACAAACTCATGGAAGCAGAAAGTAAAATCATCTGTCCCGACATTATTATATCCGGTTTGGAGAAAACCGACGCTAGGGTTTTCTTGCCATTGAATTGAACCTGGTTACTTCCCCCCAATTCAAATTCACCTCTAGATCCTCATTAAAATGTGCAACCTCCTGCTACCATCAGCATTGATGATGAAAGTATTCGAGATATATTCATCGACGTCCACTTGCAGGATCGTTATTTCAGCAAACTGGAGAGCGATACACAAGAATGATCCGACAAGCCATTGCATCGAAGGCAAACCCTCATGCCACCCAAGTGAAAGGCCTTAGAAATATCAAGCGCAACAGCTCTTGCGTTATTCCAAATATGGGTAACTTGCGATAGAAGATCGCCTGTTGATTTTTGTTTTCGAAAGCCATATTGATGATGGCTCAAAAGAATAAAGCATTCTAAATATTTGAGAATATGGTGGTTTACGGCTTCCTGAAGGATTTTTTATATCACTGGTAGCAAAGCGACTGGTCTAGGTATAGTTATTTGGAAGATTTTTTTGCCCTTTCTCGGAATAGGCTGAAAGCGAGCAATATTCTAACAAGAAAGGAAAACCCCCTTCTTTATAAGACATTTTGAAAAGTCTGCAAAATACTGATGCGAGTTCATTGGCGCACATTTTGTGTACACTGACGGGCACTTCATCCGGACAAGACACCATATTGATATCAACCGGTTTCAAAAACCACCAGACTAGTCGAAAAGGTATTTTTGGCATTGTGGATTCTAGTGTGTAAATGTGTGGTGCCTTTCCCAGGAAATCGACTGAGGAGTGGGACACGAATTGTGCAGAAAGTAGATTTGATATTTTTGCTGTTGTTACAATTGACCATTCGCTCGTATCTATGGTGTAATTGTGGATTTTGTAAAGTTTAGATTACAGCTTTAGTTACTGATCAGAAGGATCTAGACCCGTGGGGAATGGCAAGCAGTTCATCGCTAAGCTTCTAATTGTGAAGTTCTTTGCTTTCATTTATTTTAGGTTTGCAGCTGCTAAGAATATTAACAAACCTTGTTCGGCTTTCGGCACTGTGATTTTTGCGCCACTGCCTCTAGGCGAGATTTTTGAAGGCGACAGCTTGCTTGCAATTTTTGTAAAACTAAGATTCACCTTTGGAAGTTCCTTTCATCTAAAAAGGACTATATGCATTCATGGATGATGTTAAATCTCCCATGACTTCGAAAGCTCAAGTTGGTGAATCATTAGAGCTGAAACAAATATGGTATCAAGATCATCCACCTCAGCAGATCTGTGATGCCAAACTTCATCGGTAATTCATTCAACTCTGAAATGTGTTTATGATCAAAAGATTCCAGTGGAGACCCTACGGTGACTGTGTGAATTTTTGGATTGCTTGTTAGGTATAGACCCAGAAGACTAGCATATTCTCCATCACGGTCAGAAATGCTAGCTGGCTCATTTATAATCTGAGTGAGTCCACTGCTCATTGCAGCGGATATTTGGAAATTTGAGCCAAAAATTCAATGATCGCATTGAAAGTAGCACCGATAACCTTATTGCAGAAGTTTTGAAAGAGTTTCATGGTTGCTGTAACAGCTGAGTATATTTATTGAAGTTGCTAATTGAGCACATTCCTATAATGTTACCTTGCTTTATATACATATACATTTGAATTTATCATACTCATAGTTCTGTGCTAGATGAAAAGTATAAGTTTATGATACTCTTTTTAATATAAGTTACTATTGATTTTTAAATAATGAACATGTTTGGCGTCATTGTGAAGTTACCTTAAAGACAACCGGTATATTACAATCGTAATTTCATCTATGCAATATCAATTATCTGTAAATAACTTCGACATGAAATACTGTGTTTCTGATAGAATGCGATAGTTGAGTCATATTATTTTCAATCAGAAAATAACATTCTAATTATAAAAACATCAATTATTGGGATACAACTGGCCACCTAAACTTCTCGTTGAAGGTATACTATCAATATTCATATTTTCATTTTTCAATTTGCGTAACAAAATTGAAATGACTGTTGGAAGTTCATTCTGGAGATAAATGTACCTAATATGCCTAGAGTGAATACATGCAGAAAGTCAGTGAAGCAAGCAGGTAAGCAGAAACAAGAAACAATTTTGCTCATTTTGGTTGGTGTCACCTCCAGAACAACTGCTCCGAGCTATGGCAATAAATGAATTCATGCAGACTGGGGTACTATATTTTATTAAGTAGGCAGGTGTAGTGAGTAATACGATGATGAAGCGGGTTAAAGATGAAGTAGAAACAAATAGACCTGAAGTGCCATGATAATATAAAAACATAGGCTTTCACGACTGCAGTCACGATTAAAGAGAAAAAAATCCGGGATAAAAGGCCGTGGTCGAATGAAATCTAGAGTATCAAACGTTTCATTTGCTACTGAGGCAGACATCATCAGTAACGAGTCGTGCTAATAGTTCGTTTCTGAGACTTCGAGATATGAATAAATGAAATCATCAATATCAAGAAACATTACATGTTTATAGTAGGGACAATGTAACATACAAAAAAACAAATAAAAATATGTGAAACTAAAAAAATGTCAATCTATTTCATAACTTTCTTCGCAGTGATCTCTCATACCACTGATGATGAAACCGTTACTCTAGGTTTCATTCGATCACACTTAGTAGCCCCGATTTTGTTCTTTTTATTGTTGGTTGTTAATGTTGATGATAGTGATAGGAGTAAAACTATCTTAGTTGGTGGGTGGCTTCAAAGAGTTAATTTAAAAATTTAGCGCAAAATCGGCATTCATAGGTATGCGCTTCATCTATTGAAAACACTTTTTCCTAACTAGAATGAAATCGCTGTCTCTCGACGCGCCTCTCGATAACCAAGATGGGAGAGATGACTTAGACTTGTAGTCTTATTGTTTTCAATATACATATTTATTTCAAATTTCACTCATCAGAATATATATTTCAACTTGAAGACAATGATAAGAGCGTCATTATATTTGTGTTTCTTTTTTTTAGTACAAAAATAAAAAAAAAAATGTCTAAGATGAAAAACAAAAAAACAAAAATAACAAAGGACCTAAAATTGTAATTGGAATTGTGATAGCGGGTACAACATTTAATGAAGCACGTACTTCCACCAGAGGTCAGCCGTGACAAATCTGAAAATATGTAGCTAAAGAATCGCTAGTAACTAGTGTAATATACGTATGTCAATTATTCGTCACATGGAATTATGTATCTTGTACGATACAGGCAGAGGGGAAAAATTAGATAGGTCGGTATTATGCATAATTCGAATTTCAGAGGGATGCGACACTCATAATTATATATGTATGATTATTTATCAATTCATTTTGATGAATTGAAAGAAACACTGTGATCTTCATTTAAAGTTAATTGCTTTATTTTTTCCTTTGGAAGATTCCCACATTTAGTTTTTGTATAAAGATGGAGACGTAGGAAGCCAAAATTTTTTTTCTCAAAAATTCAACTTTTCTGAAAATATACCTCCTTCAATGAGCCTTTTTCCTGAGAATAGTACAGCGAATGTGTCACGAGAGGCAGCACTAGTAGTAGGGACAAACATAAACTATTCACAAGTAAAACAGCAGTGTTATTTACGTAATATTAATTCATTATTTGAAAATATAAATCTGATATGAAAAATTATTTTGTGCTAGTATAATGCCAACAAAGCATTGCTGTTTTGCGAATTGTACGTCGGATAATCGATATCCGGAAGAAAACGTGTTTTTATACCATTTATAAAACCTCATAATGATGAGGTTAGATGTAAGAAATGGATACATGCTTCGAGGAGAGTGGATTTGACAGTGCAAAAAATAAGTATTCATATGTATGCTCTGAACATGAAATGAATAGTACATTTTTCATAGTTAATTACCATTGATTAGAATGAGATATAATCTCAATAGTTTACCTAATCATATTCATTTATTATATTTAATTAATTTCATTTCATAACTATCTGTATTTGAGTAATATTTTACTCGAAAATAAATCTGAAATTCATAATTATTTTTGATTTCATTTATTACAGTTTGAATCTACCGCTCCTTTTTTACTAGAGTCTGAATACTAACCTGTCTATTAATTCACTTTTTTCCAGTTGCTTTCAGATTCCGGCATGCAAGCCAACGTTTTAATGTTACAACATTGTTATCCTTTACAGTTGTAAATTTTCGTTTTGCTCCAGGAACATCTTCTTCTGTTAAAAACATTCTTTTTCAATTGTACTTTACCATATGTTTATATGAGGATAAGGCAGTGTTTGTCTCTACCGAACTATTAGCGGTGCTAGTGAGTCATTTTTCGTACTTCAGGAAAAAGGTTCATTCAAATAAGATTTCTATGATTGGAGTTTGATCAAGTAAGCGAAGGAATATCGTTGTACTGTCATGGATGACATGAGTATATTTAACTCATTTGTGGCATAAGATCATTATTAAATGAATGAACGGAATGCTTCACCCTGTATTAGTGTGAAGTTACCCACAACTTTTCATCCACAGTTTATGACGAAGGACAATCGAACAGGGTTTAGAATGAGATTTGCGAACAGTCAGCATTCTACATAAACTCATTATATCAGCCAACTGTCCGTATACAAGCAGTAATACAGATAGTTATATTAGGTTTTGCCTCAAGCTATCTAATTTTTCAGTTTGACTATGATAGAAAAACTCTTTGAAAGTATTTTTGGTTATTTACATCGGAAAAAATATTTCAAGACTTACCTGAAATATCTGTTGATTATTATCAGGAAAACTTGTTTTAAAGTGAATTTGCCATGTGCTTCCCGAATATTACATATTTGGTTGGTCAGCAGCCAGGAAGATATCACGAAAAATATGAGAACCAGAAAAGTTTCCAAATGGCTAGATGTTATAAACAAAGGAGTTGCCAGCATCTGAAAAAGTCTCATTGCTTCAGAGTGAAAAAATTGATTTTTGAAGTATTGCTATACCTTTTCGATTGAAGCTGGGTTTTTATAATACGATAACGAGTAATACAGCTTCGTATGAGTCAGTAATAAAAGTATTGTCGTATAAAAACGAAAACCCTGCATAGAAGTCAGTTTTTTATTGTCCTCATTTTTCGCAGAATGCGTTCTCTGCTGCCAATTGTAACGTAGGGAGAATAATCGTAATGTTCTATCCCCTGAAAATATTTGAAAAATAAAATACAAAAAAAATTGTTTTACTTCAGCATAACAAAAAACACCACCGTCACCTGATATTCACTTACAGAGCTAATACTGAAATTAAAGGACACATGAGATGTTTTATATGTTGAAACAAAAAATCAATGAATCGATAAAAAAAATCATTCTCAAAAACTGAGTTTCATTATTATGGATTTGATTCAAAATGAATTCTGAATGAAATCCAACTCATCAATTAATTTCAATATACAATTCAAAAAAATATACCCTTTCAATTCAAACAATTTATATGATATATGGAAGTTTGTCGAAAGATTTATCTTTTCAAAGAATAGTCGTACACTTTTTTATCTTTGAATTCTCATGTCAAAATCATATTGTAGTTCTAGTTACCTGTGCAGGTAAATCACTTGATAAGCATTTATATCATTATTTGAATGAAATCATCAAACCTTATAAATTGCGTTATGTAAAATGGATGGTTTTAAGTTAATTTTTTTATGTTTTTCCACTATGAATATTTTTTTTTTCATTTTCAGTTATCGCTAGAGTGCCTTACAGTGTACGCATTATGTATCCATTTTGTGTTTCAACTTTGATCATAACTACCTTAAAATTCAACTATTTAAAAAAAAGGAGCAAGACATTTATATGTCCATGAATGGAAGTGACGTGATTTTATTTCAAGTATTAGCTCCAGCCAATTTTCTCATTTCATACCCATAGCACTGAAGTGCATGAACAACTTTCCTCATATTGGGTTTGACGTGACATCATTTTATTTCATTCGTCGTTAGCACAGCCTTTCGTTTGATACCTATATAATAGAAATGTTAATTAACTACTAATCTACCATCTCGGGTGGTCCACCATACTGGATTAAGAGTGACGTCATTTAATTTTTGAATTTTTTCAGCAGACCCTTTCA